GGGGGGGGGGGGGGGGGGTATCTGATGGTAAAATACTATATATATATTTACTATATAGTATATCTCAACCACTTGATTGCTTGTTTCGTCAAAAAGCATAATCTATATTATCGCCCAGCGATAATATATCCAGTTAAAGTCCAGTTAAAGCTTTAACAGATAATAAGTCCAGTTAAAGCTTTCATTTGCACTGAACACTGAAGAAAGACCTCTTAGGTTATGCGCATAGTTTATAATAGTTTTAATATGTGCCTCATTCTGTCATCTCCATATAGAAATAAAATAAGCAGCTCCTCTTTGTGAAATTACAGTTAACCTGCCATGAATTGCATCAGGGACTGAAAGCAGTAGCCATCTTTTGAGATGGTCTCAATTCAGCACTCTTTAAAAGTTATCTTAATTTGTTGAATAAATACATCATAATTAATGCAAATCACTCTCAAACATCCAACAGTCAACAGAAATTTAATTCGTTTCTACAGTAAATACCTTTGTCAATGTTATGGAGTCTGTGCACCAAACTGTGTCTATCACATTTCTGTACAGTTCAGTGATCAGAACTGCCTCTGTTTTGAGGTTTAATTGTAATCAAATGGTTGTATTAGCAGTTAAACTCCCACACAAGCACTCACAGTGCTGATAGAGGTAAGTAGTTTGTGATAGCTGTGGGTGTTGGAGCTGGCAGAGCTGTGATGTCAGGCTAATAATAACAGCTGTGCTGGCCTGGATTCGGCTCAGAAAGGGAGACTGCACAGCAGGGAAGGGTTATCTGTATGTACAGATGCATACAGGAAGCCTGTTTGAATTTGTGTTTTTGTCTACAAACATTTGTGTTTGTAGTGCATACTGTATATGTTCATTCATGTGCATGCTTGGTAGGGGTGGGCAATATGGCAAGAATATCCTATCACAGCTTTTTTCAGGCAAGATCACGATCCACAATTTCCTCACCATTCTTTTTCATGTTGGTTTTTAGACTATTTTGCAATACTAAGCAGTACAGGAAACTTAATTTCCATATTTAAAAAACATGGCCATACAAGGAAACAAAACATGAAAGAAAAAAAGAATGAAAGACCACTGGGTTGATATGACCAGCGGTGGACTCTACTGAAGTCCTACATCTGTCATCTAGAATGACTCTTAAATGTGACGTTAAATGTTAAGGTCTCTCTGATGGAGATGCACATGCAAACAGACATTAAGGAGTGAGTCAGTTGACTAATAGTTATACTTACTGATTTACGATTATCATTTTTGAATGATTCCCAGTGTCTTTGTAAATCACTAAAGGGGAATTCGCACTTGATATTGCAGCTACAAATGGGATTTAATTTTAGTGAGGTTTTAGAGAGGCAATGTAACAGATTTGATCAAAGTGCTTGATTAACTTTATGCAAATTGGCAGTGATGTCTACTAATGGAAGATCATGTGATCTGCTACAGTGGATGCTGCGTTTGAGACTGCAGTGACTTAATGCTTAATACTTTCTCCAATCCCAGTTTAGTATACAGACACAGTGCAGTGATTTGTTAATTGATTTCACTAAAAAAAGTGTAAAAAGTGTGGAACTGTGACACAATCAACACAAATTTCTGCTTGATATATTAACATTAACTTTACCAAGTTTGGGGCAGAACTTCTGTTTGACCAACCAATGCCAAATGGAGGGAGTGTGGTAAAAAACTATATTTTTGCAATTACAGTATGTTTGGTAATGCTAGTGGTGCAAAAGTTACAAATTTCAGCTTTAACGGAAAAAAAAAACACCAAAATATTTTCTCACATGCTGTTTCAAACATGTATGCATTTCTTTATTCTGTGGAACACAAAATATATTTTTTGGGGGGAAAAAACCCATACAATGACTTTAATTATATGGGCATAAACCATTTTCTCACATGCTGTTTCAAACATGTATGCATTTCTTTATTCTGTGGAACACAAAATATATTTTTTTGGGGGAAAAAACCCATACAATGACTTTAATTATATGGGCATAAACAGTTGTAACATTCTTCAAAATATCTTCTTTTGTGTTTCACAGAAATGAATAAGTGATATTTTCCCCACCAATTATTTGAAATGGGCATCTGAATGAACAGAATCCCTAAAATGATTCAGACTTCCCAGTTCTACAGCTGAATCCAAGGTAATATGGAAATATGAAAAATCTCCTTTAGGTTTTATCTAAGTCTGCATTTCCCCTATATTTCCTGTATGCTGGTAACCTTGATGTTTCATGCTCTGAACACCAGAGAGCTTGTGCTGACATGAGAATATTCAGTAGCATTCTCTGCAGTAGTTCAAACCCTCCTCCATAAATCAATACACCTATCCAGCCTTCTGTTAGGTCTCAGGCAGCCTTTCCAGGAAACTCCAGCAGCCTCCATATTGTCTTTCTGGAGGTCTTCTCACCCATTGTTTTGGCCCTAAGGTCTTGGTCCAAAAGGGTAGAAAAATAGTTTTGCATGTGTGAGGGATATGTTTTGAAATCGCAACCCTGTTGGAGAATGCTGAATTTTTTATGTGGATTTTAAGGCACGGTATAGTACAGGGCTGGATGCAAACTGACATCTCTCTCTTTTCCTCGCTTTATTTCTCTCTCTCGCTCTCGTTTCTGATTTGGTTAATAATTTAGTTAAGTATGGGAGTGACCCCATTCCTGCAGTGGTTCTGACCGAGTTACTGGGACAGTATGTGTGCAATGCATGCTTGTGTGGATTGTACATGTGAATTGAAACATTTTAAATATGTTCAAGAAAACACAACTAAGATATGCAAATGTAACCAAGATCAAAATTTAACGATATGCAACCTGCTACATTTTTGCAACATTATGAAAACATAAACCTTGCATAATGCAAAACATATTAAAGGTTGTGCGGATTAATATATTTGTGGAAACCGTGAGAATAAGTAACCCTCCAAAAAAAATTCCCTCCAAAATTAAAATTTGCTGAAAACCTTCAGGCCATCCATGATGCAAATTAGTTTGTTTCTTCATTGGAACAGATTTGGAGAAATTTAGCATTACATCACTTGCTCACATGTATGCAAGTGAACGATGCTGTCAGAGTCCAAACTGATAAAAACATCATAGTAACCCACAAGTAATTCACATGACTCCAGTCCCTCAGTTAACATTTTGTGAAGTAAAAAGATGTTTGTAAGAAAAAAATTCAAAGATTTGGCCAAAATATCAGTCCATAATCCATAATAATGTTTCCTCCATGAAAAGTGAAATAGTCCATCCCCTGTTGTCCTCTCACATCAAAATCCACCAACTATATGTTGGCTATTTTTGCTTGTAAACAGTCCTTGATCTGTGCATATCTCTCTCCTGATTCAGACAAAGCGACTTTTTCATTGGAGAAGCCAATATTATGGATAGAGGACTCACATTTCAGGCAGAAGCAACAGTTTAAAGTTAAAAACATCTTAATGATGAATTTGATTATTACACACGTGTAGCTTTTCGCTTCACAAGACGTTAGTTGATGGACAGAGTATGGATGGAGTTGAGGATGGAGTTGTTTGGATTACGTGTGGATTTTTATCAGCTGTTTGGACTCTCATTCTGATGGCACCCATTCACTGCAGAGGATTCATTGGTGAGCAAATCATGTAATGCTACATTTCTCCAAATCTGTTCTGATGAAGAAACCAACCCATTCACATTTTGAATGGCCTGA